GGGTGCTAGACCAGAAAAGGGGAGCCGCATTCAAGAGAACGAAGTGCTGCCAAAATTATTATTGAAGCCAAATTTACTTTCAACATTATTTCCAGTTTCTTTTCCTTTCTTTTCCTTTGTTTACAGTGCATTGTTTTTGTATTCTCTTCCTGCATATTCATTTCTCACCAAGGTAGAATCCTGCCAACATTTGTGGAGGACTACTAAAGACCCGAGAACAATATTATTTCAGGTTTTTATTAATTTAATTGTTATTTTGTTTGTGTTAAAAATGCATGTTTCTTTATTTCGCCGCCATTGTCTAATTATGCAAGCTTTAATTACCATGTCTAGCTAAACCACTTAATCGGTATGTAATAAATTAGTCAGACGGGATTCGATAATAACCGGTGCCTTTCCTTTTTACAAACTCTTTTCTGGCCGTGGTTTTTAATTAAAATCTTCTAAATAAACCTTCGTCGCAAAAGCAAGAAATTATTTACAAGAGTTTTGCCACGACAGTGGGAGATTCATTAAGGCACGAACCGGTACATGAAAGCGTGGGGTTCGAACCAGATAGTAAAAACTAGGCATTTATTTTAACCACAGCAAAAGCGCTTTAAAAGAAATCAGAACTTAGTTGTTTTCAAAAAGTAATTTAAACCCCGAATGGGATTGCGAAAGCATACATTTCGCCTTAGAGTTACGACTAGCGTCAACAACCAACGTGAGACAAAAGTCTTTAAACGATTATTTTTCTCCTGAAAAACCATTTGCAAAAATTAAACTGCACCGGCGATGTGTCGAATCCCCGAAAACTAAAGTATTACATGCCGAGGTCCCTTATTAATATTCTTAAATCTTATAAATCTTCTTTAAATTTAGCCTTTACTTCTGCATTAAATTCCTTAGAACCTTATCCCAACCTAGCTAAACATAGTAACACCCGATAACACTAGATTGATTACGAGTCCCTGTGGGATCGATATTTGTATTACGACACGATAGACTGTGCACTTGCAGTTAATTCAGTTAGATTCAGAAAGTCGCGATCAAAAGGGGGGTTGAATAGATCCCTTGTTAAAAAAATAAGTCGGCGCTACCAATAAAATGGTTTTTAAAAATTTGTTTAATTTGCGGAAGCGGCCGTGGAAAAATACCGTCTATAACAAACGGTTACTAGAAAACCGGATATGCGTTTTAGCCTATGGAATCAGATAACGAGTAATGAGAATCACTATGCTAGTCACACTCTCAAATTGATTTAGCTCACAATGTGGTATGACTAGTTCCAATGCCTTAAAATATTACCACAATAAATGGACAACACACAAGGCTTTTCGTTCAGGCAATTTATCAAACACTTGGCGTACAGAGCACTACAAGTGAGTTCAACTTTGAGTAATTTGCTCTAGTTTCCTTGTATAATCAACTATTGTACTAGAGTCAAAATCAGTTCAACACTTACTCAAAGCAGTCCTAAATTTGATATAATTGCTTGTACTAATCCATACAAATACTAAGCAATGTAAAAACGAAAGGTAAAAGGCACAAAGATTTGTTGAGGCAGTTCCCCCGTCGTCCTCACTTCGGGGTACGTCTGCCCTCAATTCTAACAATAGAATTGAGCTCTTATAATATAAATTTAACCTGTTGTAGAATCGTATATACAAGAATGAAATAGTAATCAAACAAACAAACTCCCTTGTTATTATAGATGTTATCTCCTATTGTACCTTGATTCGAGCCGAATCAAGTCCTTCGACAACTTGTGTATGAACTTCCGATTACAGCTCTATGTTTGAACAACCTTCCGTCTTCAAACCCCAGCCCGACTGATCTCAAACACTCGCGTGTTGAACCCGAACCTCTCCTACACAATTCTCCGATTACCGCTACTAGATCGATGGAACCCACTGCTCCTCGATCACTTTCACTCGGCCGAACATGTGTTGAGAAGACTCATCCAAAAAACCCCCAAATTCAGAGAATCTTGGAGGATAAAACCCTAGAGTTTTTATTCAAGAAAAACCTGTCAATTCCTCAACCTGAACCGGACTACCCAATCACGGCTTCGAACGTTATCACCTTAGACAATCCATAATGCAAAACAAAGATTATTGTGTGTGATTGTTGTGGTATGAAATGTAGAAGATGAAGATGATGAGAACTTGAATTGACACCTCTTTCACTTTTATTGTTTTTGTAAATGATTCAATTGATTTGAAATGAATAGAGCAACTGAATATTTATACCAGGCAAAACTGTTATAACTGATAAAACCAACTTTCAAAAATAATAGACAACTCAAAAAATATGCAGCAAACAGCGAGCGGTCGACCCATGCAGAGTGCAGGGTCGACCTGAGCTAACCCGAGGCAACATATTGTGCAAAACGCACAGCTATGCATCGATCAGAACAAGGCATGTATCGACGCAAAGCCTGATTTTTTTTGACAAATGCAAATGACAATAGTATGTGTCGACCGGTAGGTCGACCATACCTAACCCGAGGAAAATGCATTTCTAGGACACTTGCCATGAGTCGACCGGAGCAGAGTTTACGTCGACTCAAAGACCTGAAACATCAAAAAATGCCTAAATTCATATTTTTTTTATTCTCTTAGATGAAAGCTATGATAGACCAATTGAGTTTGACTCGTATGACACATATTTTGACAGCTCTAAATGCAGTACTCGAGATATTTAGTGCAAGCAAATAAACATGAGAAATAAGGTATGCTTATGCATCATGGTGATGACGCCAAATGACTATTCTTCTATGCCGCTCGGTTTTGACATCATCGAAACACGCATATCAAGTATCTGAGACTTGCCCTCACAGTTTAAGCATGACTCGGTATGTAAACATTTCATGAAAATGTTTCAGACACAACACTGCTATTTTCATTCCTTGTATGCATTCAATTTTTTAACTTTTGTCATTACATATGGGGTCAAATATGGCATACTGATGAGTAGGATAGCTGCTGTGTTTCTACTAAAAAAGAAGAATACTTAAGCTAAATATATTTAATGATCGACTCTTTTTGCTAATATATTTGTAGCTCTTCATCAACGCCACTTTAATGAGAAGAACATTGTGCATCTTTAACTTCAAATCTTTGTCTCTCTTTAAAGCTTCAGAATCACTTTAAGGTTCGAATTGGGCAAAACCATCCACAGGTAGATGGCCGTTATTTTGAAATTGGAGGCTTGTATTCTTGCATGTTACAAAGATTTTCATAACCTGTAGAATCACAAGTTTTACTTTTGAAGGATAACCGTTTTTTTTTATTGCCATCTTTATTTGATCTTTCATGAATAAGACTTAAGGGAGTTACTTAAATCCATATGTTTGCTCCTTGTAATACTGAAAATTATATCAGTAATTTTATAGTAAATAATTTGATACGTTTTTGCTGCAGAATATAATGCTTATTATTCAATAGAAGTAACAAATGTTTGGACTCAAATGTAGAGATAGTACAGTAAGGACACCCGACACAGGATGAAGTAGATAGATAGTAAAGGCTATGGGGCTCCATCCAATCCCTATCGACTGTCCCGAACTCTGGTCCTTTCAAACACCAATTTCTTTTGTAAATTAAAGAGATACCCAAGAACATAAAGGAAAAAATCAACTAATACGGAAAGGGACATGCAAGGAATGGGTTGTTCCAATCCCTTGAGACTAGGTCTAGGAATCATAGCTATAGGTAAATAAAAAAATGTAGAGATGAGAAATTATTCTTATTACCAGTTATGACTTGACAACAGTATCAAGAACCTTGTGTCAGAATGTTGAATATTACCCATGACTCTCTTGGAATTTATGAGAGTAAATCTGAATTTTTTGGATTGATTATGGTTACACTTGATTACATCCATTTATAGATCTATTTGATGACCTGTTATAGCAGGTAATGCCTAGGATTGACTGACATGTGTATGTCAATTTTTTATGGTTGTTGCAACTATTTTTAATTGTGCGAAACATCTAGTTACAATTAGTTACATGGCTATGTTAATATACAATGCACCCACTGTTAGCTTTCATAAGCTTACTAGATAACTATAAACTGATTCTTTCATACCATGGGACCAAGGCATGGTAACTGATAAATGCAATAAAATAGTTTACTAGGGTTTATATCCAAATCGGTGTAGCTAGAACCTGGATAAGGGGTGCAAACCTTGTTAGGACAATAGTAGACCTTAGGTTCTGATTACAGGCAAGAGTAATTCTGAAGCAAATCAAAACAGGGCAAGTATGATAAATTGGGTATTCAGCTGCTTACATTCTTAATTTAATTTCACCTGTCCCTTATAACAGGAGCTAGCAGCTTATTAATATCATAGAGTGTAGCATGAGTCTTGCTTAAAATGGGCAAAAGTATGACTATCAAACACTTTGGGACAATGTCAAACTCTACAAAGGCAATGGGTATTTCTAGTATATATGTTGACAGCAGACACATGATCAACCTTCTAAAAGTTGATCATTTAATGCTCTAGATATTTCTGAAATTTATACTGAATTAGAGTTGTTGCATTCAGATTAATATTGAGGAGTACGATACAGTCTAGCATTCCGACTCTAGTTGTTCTTTGAACCACTTTGTTTCAATTTTATTGAGCTTTCCCACACTCCTCATCAAACTACATTTTCAAAGTTATATGTTCCCAAAAATTAGATAGGTGCATATAATCTGCTGGCTCCATCTTGTTGGATAGTGTTAATGTTGGATAATCTAGATTGGGCTTGTCTAGCTAAATGACTCATATGTCTGGATATACATTTTGTATATCTATATGGTATTGTTTTACTATAATGATTGTTAATAGATTTGTTTTGACATCATATCCTCCCTTTTCAATGTGAATTAGCCCGCTTCCATTAATCGACATCATTGCTGGTTGATATAGTATTTTATTACAGGGGATCTAGGGACAATGCTTGGATGTCAATTATGTTACTAATTTTAGACTTTTGGATTTCATTTCTTCTCCAGGATCTCATGTATCCTTTTCTTGTGGCCTGTAAATCAATAAGCAACTTACGTAAAGCTGCAGCTCAGGAAGTTGTGGACAAAGTTCGGCAGCACAATGGTGTACTTGTGGATCAGGTTTGACAATTATCCCTTTTAAGTTTATGTTGGTCAGATTCTACCTTTTTCACCAAATGATGATTGTATCTACAGACCCAACTTGTATCAAAAGAGCTTATCAGAGTTGCTATTCTTTGGCACAAGCTATGGCATGAAGCACTTGAAGAAGCCAGTCGTCTTTATTTTGGTGAACATAATATTGAAGGGATGTTAAAGGTGTTGGAGCCACTGCATGAAATGCTTGAAGATGGTGCAATGAAAAACAATGCTACCATAAAGGAGAGAGTATTTATTGAGGTTGTATTAATATCCTTCCTCAGTTATCATAATAAACTATAATAATGTACAGTTACGTCTCTTTGAAACTTCAGTTATATTATATAAATGTTTACCTTGGATTTTTGTCAGCTCACATTGTTTTTGAATAAAAAAGTTGTTAGTACTCTCTTGTTGTGGCAGGCCTATTGACAGGAATTGTTGGAGGCATATGAATGCTCTATGAATTACAAGAGAACTAGGAAAGATGCTGAGCTTACTCAGGTATGAGAGTTTGGACTTGTAACATTGTGCCAAATTTCGTGTTATGAAGACCCTGGTTCATTTGAACATAGTAATTTATTGGTACATAAGTTGCTCTAAATCTTAGTCAAATCCTATTAATTGTAAGTGTTGACGTGGTGGGATTTTAGATAAAAGGAAGAGAGAACAACATGAACCTTGAATATTATTGATACTGACTGAATAGTAGCTTGATATAAAAGACTAAATACTATTCTCTATCTCTGTTGTTACGGGTAACGGCGCAGCACGGCCATCCGAAAAATTGGAACGGAACGGGAACGCAGAACGACACTAATATATTGAATACTAATTTAATACTAATAAACACGTAATAGTTAAAAACTAAAATCAATTACTTAAAATTCATCAAGCATTTCATACTTAAAAATAAAAACTAATTTTGGTGGCAATGTTTTTCCGTGCTGATATCTTGGCCACTCCGGCCGAGTTTAACAACAAAGGTCTCTATTTGTAGAGGTGCATAGACTCAATCATTATTAGAGTCATATCCTAAGATATAACTCTAATATATGACTCTAATAATCATAAATCAAGAACAAATCATAATAAAAGTAGGTAGTATAATTATAGTTACCAATACCTAATAGCATAGTGGAGCGGCCGACCCCAAATATAGGATAGCAGAACAATGCTATTTGACTATTTTTTTAGAATAATTATATGAATAATCTATAAAGTATATATTTAATGTAAAACTAAACAAATAACACATGAGACTATCTGTACTTGTTGTGTTATCCTTAATATATGAATAAATACTTGATTAAACGTTCTTACATTTTGGGCTATAATGGGGTTTTATTCCAAACGATCTGTATTTGTTGTTATCCTTAATATTTGAATAATTAATTGATTATATGTTCTTACATTCAGGCCTTTATACATGATCCTCTTATAAATTGGCGTCTTTTCAACTTCAATGAAGTTCCACAAATGTCTATGCTTACTAGCTGTAGCACCCCAAAATTTGCCCTTTCGTTTTAACCTTAATTGGCTTTTGTTTCTTTGCATTTTGCATTTTTGCATATCATAGCATTTGTTCTCGAGGCATGGGATCGAGGTATTCCTGTGACTCAGATTCATTTCGGCGCAAAGGACTGAACAACAAACAGTGAGCATCAGAGGCTCGGGCATTTATTTTGCCCAGCTGTCAGGCGACCGATTTTATTTTTATTTTGCAGGAGAACAACAGTTCAGAAAGCAGCATTCATGCTCATATCAAGCATTTTTACAGTGATAATATTCAAGAACAAGATTCAGAAGCTTAACAGAGCTCAAAACAGTTGAAACGGGGCAAATGGACAGATTTCCCTCCAAAAGGCGCCAAATTCAAAATTTTGAAGGTGTTAATCGGTTAACCTATATGGTCAATCGATTAACCAAAGAGAAATCATGCCAGATTTGAAATTTTGAAGGCGTTAATCGGTTAACGCATATGATTAACCGATTAACCAGTGCAATTTTTGCCTCTGTACGTGATTTTTCAATGCAGAGCCATTTGGGGTTCAATTTTGATCATTTAAATTCAAATTTGTCACTTGGGAAGGATCTAGAATCATTTCATAATTTCATTTCCCTCCAAAATACCATTTCTAGTGCCAAGCCAAAATTCACAAACCAACTTCCAAGCCTTACTTTGGGATCCAAACCTAGATGATATTTAAGTGATTCACTCCAAACCAAAGGATCCAATCTTCATTTCTCACATTCATTTTTTAAAATTCATCTCAATTCTCTCAAACTCTCTCAATTTTCCCAAATTCCAAAACCCTCACCCAAAGCTCTTTTTTCATTTGAATTCTTTGATTCTTCATTGGAATTAATGAATTCTTGAGCTCAAACCTCCATCCATCATCTCCATTGAAGTGATTTCTCCATCCAATTTTCGTGCACAATTGGATTCATATCTGGAAGTGATTATTTGGCTTATTTTGGATTAATCTTGAAGGATCTCCATTGTTACAACAAGAATTGGTGTGGATCTTGAAGTATTCCTGACTTCTAGCATCAGATCTGTTCAAATTCCAGTTAATTCAACATTAACCGAAGCAAATCTCCGCTTCGAAGGTTGGAATCCTAGATCCATAGCATTTTTGAGCTTATTTGCATGTTCATGATGATTTTCATATTCGATTGAATTTTAATTCGTATGATCTGTGTTGATGTTGTTTGGATCTGTATACATGTTGTTGGAATCATGTTTTTCTGATTTAATTTCGTGATTAAGTGATTATGTGATCATTGGTATGTTTGGAGAGGTAATAAGCTGTTGAAAAGTGATTCAGCTTTGCTGTTTTCTGCTGTCAGCACAGTGTTAATCGGTTAACGCATATGGTTAACCGATTAACCATCACAAATTTTCAAAATTTTCAAAGTTTTCAAAGCGTTAATCGGTTAACGCATATGGTTAACCGATTAACCAGTTCAAATTTTCAATTTTTTCTAACGTTAACAGTGTGTTAACCGATTAACCCCTGGGATTAACCGATTAACACTATGCTGGCAGGCCTGTTTTGCTACTTTGTTTGATTGTTTGCATACCATTTCATCTCGAATCATCATAGATCAGTATGATGTATTAGGGATGAAATGTTTCTGGATATATGTCGCTGTTTTGGTTGTTTAATCGAGATTTCACCGACATCCGTGTTTTTCCACTTGAATGCATACTTATGGATGTAGTTCAAAGTGATGATCCTTTGCATGTTCGTTTGCTTTCATCTCTTTTGTATTTCCTCCATGTTTGCATCATTCTTGCATCGCTGTTGAGGTCGAGACGAGCTTGTGGTGGCTGCTGCCCCACACATTTTTTCCTCCCTCCCACCATTCTAAGTGTTGCATTTTCATGTGTGCATATCTCACTTGTGATTGAATTTACTTGGTGCTTTCTTGTGCTTTTTTCCATGATCCCCATAGGGTTCCTAGTCCCTCCGTTAGGATGGGAGTAGGAGAGACATTAGGTGTTCAATCCAATCATGCTAACATTAGGGTAGATGTTCCCCCTTCTCTAATCCAAACCTTAGGACCACTTTGCATGACAATGTTAAGGCCGAGTTTCCCTTAGACCTTCCGTGCGTCTCTCTTCTCATCTCAAAATAATTCTAACTTATCTAATAAAGGCGATGAACGTTACGCGCTACGAGCCTTAAGCTACATGGGGAATGATGAGTGTGGGGTCTCCTCTCGCTTATCTAGAGTGTTTAGTGTACGTCCCGTTTGGGGGCGATACACGACGCGCTCACCTCCATGTCATAGTCTTTAGTGCAACGTGAATCACAAACCGAACTAATTCACTTCACTAAAAAACACAAAACAAATGTCAAACCTTTTTCCTTCGGGATTAATCAGAAACCTTTTTTCAAAAAAGAGTGTTGTTAAGCTTCGGTTCCACCGCAAGCAGGCTTCATCCCTAACTGCTGGAACGGAGGTTTAACCCTACTCGGTTAAAACACTTAATCAACCTGTGGTTTCATGTCAGCTCGAACTACGTTTGCTTTGATCTTTCATACCAGATGAAAGTACGTAGGCACAAGACGCGATGTCTTGGCGAACAAACTTCCCCCCTTTCACCCGTAGTTAGCCGAACTACGTTGACTCTGACTTTCCCATTGCACGAGGGAATACATAGGCACAGAGCGGCGATGCTCTGCCGAGTCTCTCTTTTCTTTTCTTTTTGTCCTGTGAGCCGTTAGTGTAGATAGTTTAAACACACCCTTAGATAAACAACATGCGTGGATCCTGTCGAGTACGACGGACGTGAGGGGTGCTAATACCTTTCCCTTGCGTAACCGACTCCCGAATCCAGGACTTGGTTGCGATGATCTTGTCTTTCCCTTTTTTGTTAGGTTTTTCCGATCGTTTTCTTTCCCTCTCAGTGGGATAAATAACGAAAGGTGGCGAATCTTCTGTTTTCTGCCGGGTGTTTTTCGCAATTGCGACACTAGCAATCATGCACCTCCTACTATAACTAGTGAAGAATCTGACCCAAATCGAGAGCTTCTTCATCCTCAGCGTGGTGTCCGTGAAAGGGAACTTCTTCAGGTATATACATCCTGTATTATTATTATTATTATTATTATTATTATTATTATTATTATTATTATTATTATTATTATTATTATTATTATTATTATTATTATTATTATTATTTTGTTGCTTCCTTTTGACTATTGTTGCTCATTATATCTACTTGCACGTATAGGCAGTTAACCAACTCGGTGATGCTAACGAGGTTCTGAATGAGCGTGTCATGGTTGTCATGGCTCGTATGAGTAACAAGCTTACCGATCGGGATTTTTCAACTTGCTCTTCAGTATTAAACAACTCCCTTCATAATGCAGTGGACCATATCAACTTAAATTCTAGAGACTCTCGGGAAATTGATCATGCTTTATCTGTGAAATTACAAGTACAAAAATTAATTTCCCATGCTACCTCACATGAAAATCTATGTCAAAACTACATTGGGTATGATCTCTAACTCCTGTAATTAATATTGATCGACTTAAAATCTAATTTTAATATATGTGGATTGACTGATTTTTAGATAGATACATGGGAATGACTCTGAAGTTTGTTCTTTTTGATGAGACCAGTGAAAAGTGATGTCTGCGGCCGGCTTCTATATAACTACTTTTCTCTTTGTTTTTCATGTGGTGCCCTTTCTGGTAAATCAAGGGAGCTGTAAATATTGGTATTCTGTACATAGTGAAGACTTGCCATGGATATCCTACCCCATCCTCTTTCACCTACATCTTTAATGTATATTGTATAGTCGTTTGTTACAGTTTATATGCTTGATCCTTGTAGTTAAGACTACATTTTAACAGGGTCTATATCCCCTCTCCAATCTTTAAATTGTGTATATGTAAATTATGTACATCCGTATATGTATGTAAAGTCATTTGTTGCTGATGTGAATCACATGCATGTCTTATTCAAATTAGATTTTTATTTTATATTATTGTTACTTTGATATTTAACAATATCTATAATATTTTAAATATGAATTAAACACAATTAATAATAAAAATTAAAAATTTGAGAGAGTTACTTGCGAATTTACAATTTTCTGCAACGTTTCCTGCAAATATTTCAATTACCTGCAGTGTTTTCTGCAAATTTATCTATTTTATCTGCGACATTTTCTGTAACTATTATCTACGACAATTTCCTGCGACTTTACCTGCTAAATTAATTATTCACGAAAGTTTTAACTGAGAATAAAAAATAGTAGGAAGAGTCGCAGGTAATACGTTTTCTATGAAAATTTTATCAAAATCCCCAAAGCTTTTCTAGTAGTATAATTATTATAAGAATTCTTTTTATTTTGTCACTGTTGAATAATTATTATAAGAAATGTTGAATTTTAATTTTACGAAGAACACAATAATCCCATCTAAATAATAAATGAGAAAATAGAATATGCATAAACTTCAATAAATCTCAAGTTAGTGTTAGGACATGAACGAATGATGAATTTTTATATAATCATTAAACTCATACTAAATGCTCCCTTCTTATTAAGTAAATTTTGATTGTTTTTAAATTCATTAAATATTTAATATATTTAAATAAAATAGAAATCAAATTTTTTAAATTCATTGAATATTTGATATATAAACAAGGGAGAGAGTAATATCTAATCTAGTTATTCAGGATCAAGATTAACTTTATACGTGAAATAAAATTATAAAACTCAAACACGCGTATTTTATTGCAGCTGTGCCAAATCTGGAGATCTTTTATCAGTAGAATTTGTAACATTGCCAACTCCTAATTCACGAAGACAAAACATACTAGAGGCTTTCTTTACAGAGAGCTATGACAATCATAAACACGAGAATACTTATTGCAGCAGTTCTCAACAATTTCTCATAGCTTTGATGGTCATCTAATTCAATAGATGGATGCAGACACAGTGATGGAAAATGCTCGTTGTCACTGACATCATCCTCCCTAACAACCCTGCTGCTGCTGGTTCCAGTTTCATGAGATTGCACCATTTCCAGCTTGCCCATTTTAGAACAACTCGCGCATGTGCAGTCGCCTCCAAGATAGGATGGTATGGTTGGTAGATTGTCATAAAGAGCCTTCTTGTACATCTCTCCTTCTATTTTCAACTTTTTCTTAGTAACTGGCTTTATAACCTATGATTCAAATGCTTAAATTAGTACATTTAAGAAAGCAAAATAACCAAAAATGTGTTGTACTTGTACAGGCAAAGAAATCTGTTGTGTTTGATGCACCACAAGGATAAGTGAAATTGCATTCAATCAAACAATTTATAAAATAGTCTTACACTTCATGATCAAAACTTCGCGAATAAATTCCTTCTGTTTATTTACAGAGACTATGTTTCATCTTTGCTACTTTCTATGTTTTTATGCTAGTTAAATGGAAAGAGTTTACCTGAATAAAAGTCTGAGCGATAACACGGGCAATTGCTGGAAGTCGTATGACAAACAAACAGCCAAGACGATTAGGAAAATGATCTTGCAGAATGTAAGCACAAGATCTCAGAATTTGCATAGGAATTCTCAATGGAGATAACCCTTCACAGTCCACCAATACTGTAATTTGAGGGTTGTCTCTATCAACTAAGTGCAAGACTCCATATTCTACCTGAGACACTGAAGAAAAAACCATTGGTTACGCATTACACTAAAGCATGAAAAGGCATGAAAAGCTATAAAGCACGGACCTGTGATACAAGCCAGACACTGCTAATGTAAAAAATATAGGACATCGAAATTTACACCGACACCGCTGCATATTTATTGATTTGTTATAATTAAATATAATATTAATATTATTGTTTAAAAATCTAAATCGAGCAATTTATTTATATATCTACTATCGAAAAAGCTAAAAATGTTATAATCAAATTTAATGTATTTAGCACATAAAGATAAATAAATGTTGTAGTCAAAGATTGAAAGCTAGGAAATAAATAAATCTTGTCACATGGGTGTCAGACACCGATCGAGAGTGTTGGAGCTAGGAAATAACATTTTTTTTAGGACCCCTTGTTTGAATTTTCCACACGCGTGACGTCATACAAGTGTCGGACACTGACGTATATCGGACACCACGACACATATAATTCTAGAGGTGATCGTTCTTCATAGATGAATTAAGTGATAAGTGAAGAATCTATACTTATAAAATTCTGTAGATAAAAGGGGGCAGTGAAGGGGGAGGGGTTTAGTGTTTCAAAATAAAGCAAATATGAAAACCAGTGGCAAGCAAAAGAAAATCTGAATGTGCAATAGGAAAACATACCAATTGCCCGAGCAAATTGAGGTCTGTCTTGGGATGCCAATGAGCTGCAAGCCATCCCAAGCCTTACAATGAGACAAGGTCTGTGCAACAAATCAGATCCATGCCAGAACACCATATTCGACCACGTTTCCAGCTCTTCTACTGAAAGGATTTTGTAATACTTCCGCCAATGTATTGTCTTCTTGATGGAGGTAAGGAAGCATGAAAAGTCATTATTAGAAGCTGCGTAAAATCTGTGGAGCTCATCATCATTGATTCTGCACAAACACCACTAAATCATGGTCCACTGCAACAGGAGAAACCAAGAAATATGCAAGTAAATATGCTATTGCTATCTAATAAGGAACCTCAAGCCAAGATTTTGAAACGCCTCAAGAAAGGCAACAATACAAACTGAGAATGAGAATATAGAACATTGGCAAAAAAAAATTCAATGATTACTAATAGCTGGATTATCATTATACAAGTACTTAATCCCTGAGTTGATGAATAAAGTGTTTTTTTTTAAAAGGCAACAAATGCCCAAAGTAGTGAAGTACAAACAGCGGTGGAGTTAGGGTACAAGAAGTACCAAATCAAGCCGCCACCACAAAAAGTGGGTGCTCAGATACAGCAAACAAACAAACAAGCAAAAACAACAACAAAGAGATGAATAACAACCCAACCAAACCAAGCTAGAAGAGAGGAAGAAGCAATGAAAGATAACACCAGTTAGAGAGGAAAAAAAGTTAGATCTCAGCCACTAGAAACCACCATCAACAGAAAACAAGGAACCCTAGAAAGCCCCAAGAACACTCTGTCAAAGGAGCCGGCGAAGACTCGCAAACGGATATTGTCTCAAGCAGAGAATAAATGAATAAAGTGATTACGTTGAATGTGATGAATATCCTAAGAGATTACATAGAATTATACTCATTCAATGAAAATAATTTAACATACTTGTTTGTGAAAGGAAACTAAATACAATTGCAAATAAGTTATTATTTTCTGCTTTTCTTCCTTTTCAAACAAGGAGCCAGGTGTAAATCTACATTACCAATGAAAATGACAAAATGATTATAATTGTATGAATCCAGTAGCTTAGTTTGAAATAAAATTCTGACAGTATCATGCCATGGCATTTTTTCGGAATAGCACAAATATGTAAAAAACCATCAACTACCAGTACCTTTCTGGCAAACTAATTCCTTGATTTTCCAGCTCTTGATCAAGTTGAGTCAACCATTTTTCATATTCTAAAACTTCAGGAGCTCTCTCAAGTTGGCTGTGAAAAAGGAAAAGAAAGTATTAGCACGAATAAAAGAAGCCTGCTTGACAAGCCCTATACAACAATCACAAATTTAACCTGAAAAGCATGTAGATCATGAAAAGCACTTTATTCATGAGTTTTAGCCAAAAGATTGAAGTTTTTGAATTTGTGCTAGGCCTATCTCAAACCCAAAAACTAGATCAAGAGACGAGGATTCCCAATTTACAGACAACTTTGGCTATATTTCTGGTGGATATTGGATCTTAAAACACATCCAGGATTGGACACTTGCAGCGGGGACAAATGCAAGTGGCCAAACAAGAACACCCCTCATGCCTAGGACTAGTCACCTAGGGCGTAAACAAATATGGGTGACCATAAACTCTGAAGAATTTGGACACGACCTAATTCAACCTTAACACTAAATCAAGGGGTGAGGATTGTCCAAGCCTTTTAAGGACTATCTTGGGCATATCTCTAGTTGATATGGGATCTCAACAGAAGTCATCACTTGAGATTGATTGATATTTATAGTGTAAACAAGCACCAACACTCAAAGACTAAGGTTGATTTGGGGTCAATCCTGTACATTATTGGCTCAATAAACATCAATGTTCTACATTACTTTTGGAGAAATACATCAAAGGCCTCCAATAACAATTGCTTCAAATATAAAATGCCGCATATTTTTGTTTTTATCAAGATTGGTATTTTTATTGAAAAACTTTATATTGAAACACGAGGAATGTACATATACATACATAAAATCATATTGCAATCAACAAGTTCAGAAAATATCCCAAAACGAACAGACCCCAAATGTCATATGTAAATAAAAAGACACTTCTCATATAGAAGGTTTTTGGTTCATGTGTGTTTAATTTTATGAAACCAGAATTCCCAAAACGGAAGCCACAAATAAATCAGACTACACAGTTGTTCACTTAATTCTTAATTGATGTTTGGATTCTAGGTAGGAGATATTATGAGAGATTTAGGCATTTTGATTTTCCAAATGATATATAAAACAATAAGACTCCGCTACACTCTAAATCCTACAAACTGCCCCAAGTTTGAAATAATGCACGTTTCATTCTCAGGAAGACTTGTGGAAACTGGTTCAGTGTGGTCCAATCAGTAATTATCTTTGATTTTGCATTTGCATAATATCAGTTTTCAGATTCAGTACTTGGTCAACACTTGGATCAATTGGAGAGTTGAGTAACAGAATGCGAAGTTTTGTTACAGAGTCAGTTCAGGACTTAACTCAAGTAAAACTAATTGGTTCTGTAATCAGTTAAATAACTTCACTATGAATTCCATGCTATAGTTTCTTTTGTATTCAGAATTTTAGCTTATGAAATATACAAAAAAGATTTATCTTACTTTTTCTCTAAACGGCATGCTCTTCAATTTCTCAAATGTTCTATGTGACTCTGAATTTTTATAATGTTCATTCAAAGGAATTTCAGAAACAGGGATTCAAGTAAATTAATTAGAAACATAAGAACCTGAAAGAAACCTTCCAAACTTAAAGATAATAGTTTTCCATCAACTCTAATTTCACTAAAAAATTGTTCAGAAACAGAAACTTAAGCGGCATTACAAATCTTCTTACTGTGGGATGGTCCAAGGTTCAGTTTGGTTGTTGCATGTCAGGTTTCTATGATGCCAAATTTATCAATTACCCACCAGGTTAATGTCAAATGATCCTTAATTAGGCAAGTAAGCCTCTAGCAATTATGGTCCAAGAGTTTAATAGTAACTTGATAAGCAAATGTTAATCTATGCATCACAGTTCTTACGTAGAAAATTATGCTATTCTAAGCTCAAAATGAAATTTTTTATAAACACATCATAAAGATTGTAAATTGAACATGTAAATCTTAGTAAGAAGCCTCAAATCATACCTAGTGTTCAAACTATCCTGCACCGGAGATGGTTCTGCTGCAGATATTTCTGAATCACGAGAGTCGGTAATATTATCTGAGGTTCCATCACTACATTCTAGTTGATCAGTAAAGGCTGTTGCAATGGAAAGGACAATTAATGGTGTTGATAGTTCCTGGTAACAGAGAGAGTATTAACTATCTGCTTCATAAATATAGCTGAGTTTGATATATTAGAAGGAGAAAATACAGTGAACAACATGACAGAAAAGTGAGAGAGCTTGTTAATCAATCCTATTCTCCACTCCTTAACCTTAACAGGAAAATAGGGCTAGGGAAATATCATATTGTATATCTTATGCTAAAGATGAGATAATACTGTAGGCAAGAATAGCTCTTAAAAACAGTCTCCTTGGTCCATACAAAGGGAATTGCAATCTTTTCTATATAAAACAAAAATGAGGAAAAAGAAAAAGAATCACTTTACGACAAGTTCAATAAAAATGGACGATACATAGAAGTAACAAACATAACACCTTCTGGAACAAAGATGGTCAAGAAGCAATGTTGTCAATTATGGATAGCGGAAAATAGCGGTTTACTCAAATCCCGCTATGCTGCAGAGTTACAGTGACGCAACAGACACTATTTGACCATATTCTGTACTAAATAGCATAAGCGGAACAATAGCGATTTGGTCAAATTCTGCTACTAATGCTAATAGCGCCCATATAATTCCTATTTGACAACACTGTCTAGAAGACTACACGATTATTGGTGATATAGCAACTTTTAGAACTTTAGAATAATGCTACTCCAAGATAATTCAATTTTATAGCATATAATTTTCCCGAGATACCATATTTTTCTGCTTTTAAACTACATTCTATATGAATATATACTGAGACCTTATGAAATTGATAATCACAAACCTCCATACTTTTGACCAAACTCCTGAAGGTAGACCACCTCTGAAACCATTGAAATGGTCTGTAAACAAGGATTTGCAGACCCTGCAGGCCTCGCCACACACACGGACATCTACTCTTGGAGAACCTCCTTACAGTCTCTAAAGCAGCAACTTTAACCAAAAAAAATGCAGCACGACCCACAGTAGTTCTAAAGTCACCATGCCTCAATGAAACAAGGGGCTCAGAAAATCTTTGTGCAAATCCTTTGGGACGCGATGCAACAAGCTGTTTTTCATACAATTTTTTCCCAGTAATAGAGCTCATGCTCGAGTTAGACATATCCACCCTCTCTCCCATCTAAACTGAAGAAAATTCAGTTCCTCTTGACAATCACAACATCAACAACAACAGCAAAAAAAGTAAATTTTCATCAACAAGTTACAACAATCAATAATACCTACAAAACATGGATTTAAACTGCATGATCTTTGAAAATACTGAAAATTGCTACAATTTTGAAACGAATTGATCAATAGTAGTAACTGCAATTGGTTTCGATCAAAATTCATTAAGTCGGTGAATTGTTCATTCGGATCGATCAAAATTCATTAAGTCGGTGAATTGTTCATTCGGATCGATCAAGATCTGATTGAAAGTTAACCTGATTTGTGGAGAAAGATGAATTGAGAATGTCAGCGACGATTCCACCTCGATGCTTCTTGGCTTTCAGTTTCCGAGTTAAGTCGAAGTTGTATAGTGGCATCGTTTGATTAGAGGGAACAAGTAGCTGTTAAATGATTACGTGGACGGTGGAGATTTGTTGATTGAAACGTCAATGCTCACATGTGTTTTGCATGATCCCATCATCACGGATTGGAAAGAGAATTAAATGTGTTGTTATATTAGTTGTCTTATTATTAAGAGGATTTAATTCTTATAGAAAAGATTTTGATAAAAAAAGGAAAGTATACAAATTTGTTACACTTATTAAATTATAATCATTGAAAATATTCCACTTTATCTAAAATTATTTCTAAAATAAAAATATATAGCATTTAAACCTTTTATTCTTTAAGGTGTGTCAAAATCAATCTCAAATTACTTCCCATGTAAAACCATTTATCAAATATCAATTTTTTAAAAAAAATTATTCAAATAGTTAATCTTTATAGTTGTAAACAAAAGATATCTGATTCTTATAATTTAAAATAATTTTTTTTTACCCATATATAACTAGTTATATTGATTTGATTAAAACTTAGACATATACTTGTTAAATAAAGTATAGTTCAACTTTTATGAATATAAAAAGATACAATTAGTTTGGGTGATAAAACGGGTCGTTATTTTTTGTTCTGCTTTAAATCAATCAAAAAAGAAGGCGGCACAAGCAAGTCTGCCAAATAAAATTGAACTAAATAATCTAACTCGTCCTGCCAAGGTGGCAAGTTGGCGGGCGGCAGAGTTACCCGCTTATTTTTTATTTATTTATTATTTTTTTGATAAATTAATAAATTTATTTTTGCATTTCAATTAAATTTTTCACTTATTTTTAAAAATAGTTTTTATATAAAATTTTTAAACAAATTTTACTTAAAAAATATTACATATATTCATAAATAAATGTATAAAATAGAATCATTAACAAATATTCCAAAATTATAATTCAAGTATGAACCTTTAACTAACTAAAATAAATATTTTGAGTGTTTGATCACTAGGTTGACGCTGTGGCGGGCCAACCCGCCCTTTTTTTTACGAGTTTAAAGCGGGGCGGGTTGGCGGAGACAAAATCCTAACCTAACCCGCCATTTTTTGGCGGGTGCGCGGGCCAGTCTGGAAGGCCATGACCCGTTTTGCCACCCCTAAGTTTAGATATAAGGGGTGTAGTTGTAAATAGTGTGGCAGTTAACTTAGTTATCTAATCTAGAGTGAGAGATGTTAAGGTCTAGAGAATGTGTCATGAGTTTCTCTTTATAAGAAACGGTTAAAACATAATTGGACAAATGTCTTTAAAAACAACGGTAGAGATATCATGATGTGATCCTTATCAGATTTCTGATTATATCTTCAGACTTGTTTAGGTGTGCATCTAGAACATGTCCATACTATAGTTTATATTGGGAAGTTTCTTGGTGGACATTTGTTATAGTGTTAGGTTAGATTTGCCTCAGTCTAGAACAATTGTCCTTCAAGCCTTTAGATGAAGGAGTCAAGTGATGACTTGATATTAGACAATACATCTTATATATAATTAAATGTAATATTTTTAGACAAAATATCATTTTTGGTCCTTTAACTACTATATCTTTGAGTTCAGATTGGTCGCTTAATTTTTTTCCGTGTCAGATTGGTCTCTTAACTCTTTAAAACGTGTCATTTTTGTCTAATTAGCAACGAATTTAACGATCGATTTTTGAATTTTTTCCGTCGCTAATTATACAAAAAGGACTAACATGACACGTGTTAAAGAGTTAAGGAACCAATGTGACACGAAAAAAATTAAGGAACCAATGTAAACCCAATGGTATAGTTAAGGGATCAAAAATAGTATTTTGCCTATTTTTTAAGGACTCGATTAAGGTATGATATTTAACTTGATGAGACGGTTTCAGTGCTAGATGCTGCGATTGAAGGCTTTGAGTGAGAGAAGGAAAATACGGTTAGGGTTTCATAGACCGGACTTTCATCAAGTGTGAATGCTTCTGCACAATGGTTATATTTATAGAACTACTTGTGTGGGCTGCAAGCTAAACATCTCATTTAAGTGCACGCGTACAATATCTTATGGTGTACCGTATATCACTTAAGCTGTTGGTGTAAGCCCTAGAGGCCAATACTTTTTGGTACTTGTATCAGATTATTCGCTTAATAATAAAAGGCATTTCTTTATTATGTTTGTCTTTCAGAATAATAAAGTCCCTAGAATAGTTAGTCTGTTTAATGAAATGTTAAGTGTGACTTAATCATGAGATCCCATTAAACATAAAGACATTATTCTTAAAATATCCGTAGTCAAGCTTTATTGCAAAGTGGGATAACATTAAAAGCATTGAGACTATTATGAAGATAGACTGATGATCACATCTCATGGATCATGGATAAAGAGTTATCAAGTCTTGACATAGGTATAAATATTAGGAGTAATATTTATACCGGATTGACCCGCTATGAGAATACTACATAGTATGTTATGCAAAGTGTCATAAGTTATTCTCATGGTGATAATGGTGTATTACCACCCTTCGACCTGAAACCACTATGGACCCTAGATGTAGAGTCGGGTGCTTTATTGCTGATCAAACATTATCCGTAACTGGATGATCATAAAGACAGTTGATGGGCACTCCACGAAGCATGCTGAGGGACATGAGTGTCCTAGATGGAATTTGCCAATCCTGCATAACAGGAGAAATGTCTAAGGGCCCAATATTGAACTGGACAAGGATGACACAGTGTATGCCTTGTGTTCAATATAGACATAGGGGCAAAAGGGTAATTGTACAAACATATATTATCACGAAAAAGGTTTTGTCAGATCACATGACATTTTCGTGACTTGGGTAGCAGTGATGTGTTGCTAGATACCGCTTACTGTTTATTATGTTAAATATATATAATTTAATATAATTACCAACGTTACGAAATCCTACAGGGTCACACACATAAGGACAGTTTGATGAGAGATAGAGAAATCAAAGGAACACCGTAAGGTACGGTGCACTTAAGTGAAAAATAGAAATTCGGATAATATAATAATAATTATTGTTATTTTATAATGGTTATAAAATAATAATAAAATAAATATATTTATTATAATAATAGTTATTATAATAATATATAATATTATTATGGATCATGTGAATTGGGTTTTAGCCCGCAGCCCACAAGAGAGTCTATAAAAGGAACCCTTGTGATGAAGCTTTCACTTGATGCAATTTCGTTTTGATTCTCTTTTCTCACTCAAATAATTCCGTTCGTAAGCAGCTAGCACTGTGACCGGAAGCTGTTCGTGTGGACTGAGTAGAGGCGTTGCACTTCATCAACGCTTGTGATCGCTGCATCAAAGATCTGAATCGCCACAAAGAGGTAACGATTCTATCACTGACCATGCTCATTCGTGAGGATCACTAAAGGAAAAATTTTGTTTTCCGCTGCGTTTAGATCGCAATTTTCCTTCATAAGCGTGTGGTACTTTACCACATTCCATATTCTACTTAAGTGCATCTTACCTTACGATGTTCTACATTTACTTAAGTGCACCATACCTTACGGTGTTCCTTATTTACTCCACCTTTTATCAATATGTTCTTATGCGTGTGACCCTGTAGGTTTTTTCAACTTTGGAAATTATATTAAATCACATATTTAACATAATAAACAATGAGTGGTATCTAGCAACACATCACTGATATCCAAGTCACGAAAATGTCATGTGATCTGTGTACAATTACCCTTTTGCCTTTATGTCTATATTGAACACAAGACATATGTCGTGTTATCCTTTCCAATTCAATATTGGACCCTTAGACATTTATCTTGTTACGTAGGATGGGTAAATTTTATCTAGGTTACTCATGTCCCTTAGCATGCTTTATGGAGTATCCATCTACTGTCTTTATGGTCATCCAGTTACAGACAATATTTGATCAACACTAAAGTACTTGATTCTACATTTAGAGTCCATAGTAGTTTCAGGTCGAAGAGTGGTATACATCATTATCATCATGGTAGTAACTTATGACATTTTGCATAACATTCTATGTAGTACTCTCATAGCAGATCAATCTAGTATAAATATTACTCATAATATTCATACCTATGTTAAGACTAGATAACTCCTTATCCATGATCCATGAGATGTGATCATCCGTCTATCTACATAACAGTTTTAATGCTTTAAGGTTATTCCAATTCATAGTAAAGCTCGACTACAGATAATTTAAGAATAATGTTCTTATATTTAATAAGATCTCATGATTAAGTCACACTTAATATTTCATTAAACGAATTAAATATTTTAGGGACTTTATTATTTTAAAAAAACAAATATAATAAAAAATATCTTTTATTAATAAATAATTCGATACGGGTAGGTTAAATTACATTAAAATTTAAATCTCAAGAATATACAAAATTGATAGCAGCAGTGAATTATAATTGAGAATGATAATGTTAATAAAAAAATAATAATGTAGATGAAAATAGTTAATGTCAAAGTTATTTGAGTAAATCATAATTATGAATATTTAAGTACATTAAATAATTGTATTGCATAGAGTATAAAATGGAATATCACCCATTGGAATTATAACAAGGTAGCGTTGAAAGAAAATGAACAAAAAGAGTTGCAAAAT